GCTTCTAATTCACTAAGCCTCGCCTCCAACGCAGCAAATAAGCTACACTTATTACAATTACCACTGTCGCTAAAGGAGGCAGAGGCATAACTGAACATTTGGCACACCGGGCAAGAAAGAGCAGGAGAAGGAGAAGCCATGGCTAAGCTAAAGTAGCTAACAAGGCTAAGAGCGTGCAAACAACAGCTAAGAGATTAGCGAGAAAGTCGTAGAAAGAAGGAGAGCTATAAGTGCTTAAACAGAACCACTGTGGGTTATGACTTGAAGTAGACGTTAAAGCAGCGTTAAAGCAACTGAGGTGAGAAAGCAGGCTAGCAGAATTCACCAGAGCAGTACAGAGACACTGTCACAGAAACACCGGAAATGACACAACTCGCTTACCGCAATACGTCAGCACGTCAATCTCTGCTTAGATTCACTATGCTGACAGTGGCTTGGAAAACCGCCCATAACTGTGTTACACGGGGAAGAGGGAAGGCGGCTGGAGTTCCTTCAATATTTGCAGTTAGATTATCATATTTTTTTACTGACAAAAATACAGCCTGCTTCGGCTGATTTTTTTATGCGCACATGTGCCCCTAAATATTTTTTACAATTCGCACACACCTATTTTTAGTCGCAAATGCGAGTGAAACGCTCGCACTGTCGAGCCCTGAAGTTACAGGGTCCAAGTAGGATGGGTGGAACCACTGACTTTCACCCAGGAGGCCGGTGTTCGCTTCCTGTGTGATTGTAAAGCCAAACACAGTTTTTTTCCCCCAAAACCAACCACGTGCTTTTGTTGCCTAAACCCAACCTCGTGTGTGTGTTGTTGAAGGAAAAAAAAAGTCAATTTTATGGTGTTGTACCGACGTAGTACTCTTTTGAAAGAGACTGTATGCAAAGTGTACGTTTCCTGTGAAAACGTAAGTGTATTTTGAAAACAGACCATGCATGCAACAGGCTGAAGTTGACATGGCGTCCCAGAACGTCAACAACCAAGTTATATCTTGATGTGGAAAGTCCATGACCAAACGGTGATGTATGACGAGGTCAGGGTGAGAATGTGTTGTAATAGTTATTATCACATTTTCCACCAGATTAATTTCAGTCTCTCTGTTACATTTTTCCCTTTTCCTTTGCCACACACTTTTTCTTGGTCTGTGTGTGGACATATACAGATGAGCTTTATGCACAGAAACTCAAGTACAAAGCCATCAGTGAGGAACTGGACCACGCCCTCAATGACATGACCTCTATGTAAGTAGTGATTTGTGTAATTTCTGACTGAGAAGCTTGTGAAGCCTGCCAGTGTAACATTCCTTTATCAAAAATAACTTAATTGTGTACTGCTCTGTCTGGCTGTAATGCTGGCTGGCTGTTGCCCACGTACTACACCCAGTGATGTCACAGTGTGCTCAGGTCTAGACCAGTTCTAGCAGTGCCCCACCAAATGCTCCACCTTCCCCCACCAGACTAAACATTAGCACAGAATAATTCTCCATGTTGAGCAGTTCATTGTCACTAAAGAAGATGGCAGTGTTGTATTTCTGTATGTTAAGTGAATGGAACAGAGGCAAGACAACACCAATCAATTCTTATGACTTCTTATGTCTGTCAGTTCTTAGGCCTACAAGTCAGTACTGCAAGACACCAGCACAAACACAAACAAATGTGTTTTATTCATCAAAGACAGGAATAACTTAATGCATCACATTCGCTGAATTTACAAGAAGGGATAAATAATTCAGAATTTGTCACGGACGACATTTCATAATGCCTGGTTCACACTACACAACATTTCTGACCATTCTAATGGTCGCTATGTCACACCTGGTGATTGTCATAAAATCGTGCCGTGACTTGGTTGACAGACTTGACAGACTACACGATGGTCCATACCAATCATGCCAGTCCTCTTTCATGACATGTGCAAGATGTCTTTGGGTTATTCTTGTCGTATTTTTATTATCATTACGTTTATTTCAGTTACTGTGTCTGTTCAAGTACCAGCAGAAATGTTTTTGTAGTAATGTAAAAAGTGCCACCAGATGTCAGGAGCTACATTTGAAGTACTGCATGCAAACACACAAGTCACTGAATGCTCCACAAGTTCCTGCAAATGTTTCACAATAAAAGCCTTTTTACAAAATGAAGGAATTCTCTAAATCGAAGTTATAATGGGCTTCTATTTTTATACAGATGTAGAAAGTGTTGAGTTTGAAATGGCGGAGCGATGCATTAACTTTATGAAGGCAAACTGGAGTGGATAAAAAGTAAAAATATAAAAATACAGAGAAAATAATAAATAATGGCCCGTTTATAATAGAGTCTGTTTCAAATGAAACTTACTGTATGTCCATTTCCAGTTATGAAGAAATAACATTCTATGCTAGCTTGATGCTAATGGCAGTACTCACCAAGTTGCTTAAGGGCCTCTGCTGTTTCACCCCATCATTTTCTCTGTTGTGGTAACATCCCTAGTAATCTCGCCACCAGACAATCAGAGATCTCCGCCTTCTGATAGTCTGGGGACACTCCTTTCTAAAGTGTGTTTAACACACCGGAGAAAACGGCTGGCAACAAAACAACGCCTCTTGCATTTTTGAAAAGGACACGCCCTCCCGGAAATGTGCGCTCCCCCTTTTCTCGTCCGCAAGGAAACAAACACACAGAGAGCTTGAAAATGGATGCCGAGAGATTTAACTCCGTTTTATCAAACGTGTGCTCAGTCCACAAGATTGTGGAAACAAAGGACTTACAGCAACTTTGTTTAAAACTGTATCCGCCCATCTAAACACAAAATCAGGGAGAAAGACATCAGTCTTTAGTTAAGCAAAGCGTCTAAAGGAGGAAATATCAAAAAGGCTGCTGAGGTGTTGTTGTCGTACAGTTGTCCGCGGCAGCAGATCACTCTGTGTTCCTATTGGTTAGAGTGACGGCTGTGATGGGAGCAGTCGTGAACAACAAAAAGAAAATCAAACATGCTAGACTTTGTGTTGGAACGTCATGAGGCGTCCCAGACCTAGCATCAGTTGTAGTCTACCATGACACCCTACACAAGATGAAATGATGGATTATCGTCATTCACGATCCATGCCAACACCGTACGTCACTGCGTCGGGCTATAATGGGGCTGATATCGTGTAGTGTGAACCAGGCACAGGGTTGATAAAGTTTTCCTTCACTCACAAAATTCAGCGATTTTTGAAGGAGTCTGGTATTTTCTCCCCGGATGACAAAGGAGTATATTGTATTTACTGCCCAGCGAACATTTTTCCGTTGAAAAGACCCTTAAAAAAATGACACTGGTGAAAAGATGTTCAGAAATGGTTCAAAAGTGAAAGTTTTTTCACTGACTGTAGACGTTGATTGAACGTTAACATTTAGACCACATTTCACCAGGATTTGCAATAGTGAGATTTCTCATCCTCTACAGTATGCAAATAATAGTCTACTGTCAATGTATAGCCTAATTAAGAAATCACGTCGAAATATCTCAGCTGAAAGTCAGTATTGCAAATCCAGGTGAAATATGGTCTAAATGTAACCGTTCAATATATATATATATATATATATATACACACATATATATATATATATATATATATATATATATATATATACACACACATAAAACGATATATATGTATGTATACTTTAATTGTTTTATTTTTTTACCGAGACATTTTCTCATAGGTTGAAATGTTTATTTTTCATACCACTAGGACCGTCTTTGAAGGCATAGTCCTATTACAAATGTTTTACCTGTATTTGCATGTTTTTTTTTTTACTTTTCCTTAAAAGAAAAAAAAAAAAACAGAACACTTAGGTGTGATGCAAGAATTGCTCCAATGTTGTTCTAAATAAAAATTTAGATAAAAAAAAAAAAAAAAATTCTGTGTGTGAAAGCACTTTTTAAAAAAAGTCACAGTGTAGAGACAGACAGACAGACAGACAGACATAATCAGATGATGGAAAGGTGAACAGTGCACACAATACATTACATAAACTGTGTCGGACAATTGTCTGTCAGTGAAAGAAAACCCATGTGATGTTTCAAAAAACTAAGGTGGTGGAAGACGCTCACAGATCTTTTACTTAAAAACTATCAACAGTGTAGAAATACTGTTCCAAGTAAATGTTCTGTTTTCAAAATAGCATTCAATTAAAAGTTCAAAAGTACTAGCATTTTGCAGAATGGCTCATATCTGAATAATATAGATTATAGTATTGGATTATAATTGTTGCAATAGATAAATGTGTTGCAGTAAAAAGGACAGCACCTACCTCTGAGAAAAAGTGGAGCAGGAATGTAAACTTGCATAATGTGGAGATACCCCCCTAAAGAGGTCCAGACTAAGCCAAAAATGTCCTCAAAGCCTAGTTACGCCCCTTTAGCTCTACATGAAAATATTAAACAGAGCACAGTTATAGTTTACAGTCATAAAGAACACTTATATTAACCTGCTGGCCATGGAGAACAACAGATATCACTACTGCCCTCCCCCCATTCAAGCAGTGTAGAACCTGGCCTAGCTTTGGCCACGATAATCATGTAATGAAAATCTGATATCATGCCAGCCCTAATCCAGATATTGTTTAACATTTGGACAATTTTCTTTTCCTAAGCGTCATCACCTTATAACATTTCGTATTCCTGGAAAGTCAAAGTCTCCCAGGCATTGAAAAGCCTGGTATGAGAAGTTTGTTAGCAATTTTTTATTTCTGATTAGAACCATAACTCAGTTGAAAGACTGAACTTTGTATACAAAATAAATTGAAAGCTTTATGAGGCCCCTCTCACCCCTTAAAGACACAAAACAGTTTAGTCTGCCCTTTTTGTCTCTGAACACAGCTAGAGCTGAGTGAGCTACTGCTTATGCTGCTGGAGCCCCAATGTACACCATCATGTCTTTTCCCAAGAAAGGGAAACAAGGGTTCCAAAAAAGAAAAAGAAACAAAGGATACTGACTTTGGAAAAAGGAAAAAAAAAAGGTATATGTGAGAGATGTGGTTCAAGAGAGGAAGGGCAGGGGGCCTGTCAGGGACCAAGCAAAAAGGCAAAAGGACAAAGGTGTAAAAAGGAAAATTGTTTTTAATTTGTTTAGCAAAAATGCCAAAAATACAGGGATCCCAAATAACTCAAGTAACTAGAAAAAAATAAGCTACAAAAACTAGGGCCCAAAATCAAAAGGAGGTCAACTAAGCAATAAAGAACTAAAGCTTCAACCTAACACAACATAACTAAACACCAAACTGACCTCACTTTAAATGACACACGAGGGGGTTATATAGACTCAGACTAGACCTAGACAGAAACAGGGGGAACTTGACTGACAGTAACAACATTAAACATTCAACAAACTTAAAGATACCTAAATATAAACAACCTATCAAAAGCAACTATATACAAAAAAATAATTAGATTACAAAAAATGAAAACAAAAAGGCAAACAAAGAGATTTTTGGAGAATTTCAAATGGAGTACCCCCTTCTTCAATCTCCATCCTGGCTCCTTCCACTTCCTGTGGGCTGTCCTTAAAAGGCCCTCTTGCTCAGGCTTCCAGCCTTTTGCCTGTAGAGCTCGGAGAAACAAACAGTAAGTATTAATTGCAATTTAAAGACCATGTGATAGAATGTTACCTAGTGATGGTGAAAGCTTCATGAAGCATTGAACCACTTTGACACACCTGCTTCAAGGATGACACACTGCTTTGAAGCATTTCATACAGTCAGAAGAGTGACATCTGCTGGCTGTGTGTCAAAACTGCATCTAAGTGGAAGACCTGGAAAAGCCTCAAGACTGCCTGTAACGAGGCCTCGCTCCCGGTAGTCACGTGATTGTGGGCGTGCCGAAGCAGGGATCGAAACACTGCCTCGGAACACTTGCGCTTCAAAAGATCAATACTGTGTCGAGCAAACTGGCTCGAGCGTAACATCACTAATGTTAACCAAATTGTGTGCACCCAAATTAGAAAACAAACTGTCAAAATGAATAAAATGTGTGGTATGAACATAAAAGACTATGTGTAATGTCATTATTTGATAAAATGTCTGAGTGTAGAAGGTGTAAAAATGTAAAAGAATACTAACACTGGTGGGCATAGAGACTGCTTGTGCATAGGGCCCAGAATTTGGTGTTATGCCCCTTTATGTGTGATCATGCAAGAGCTTTGCAGTACTTATTTACAAATTGAAAGTGACAAATGTTTGTATAACATGATGTTGCCACATTTACTTTCTCTGTGAAACGGGTCCCTGGTTGGCTGACAGGTAAGGACTGAAAAGCTCAGCTGTGACAAACTCTACTCATCCATGAAAAACCTGTTGAATGGCCTTCTGCTGACTGTTACTTGCATTTTGGAGGTATGGTTAGTTAGGACATACATTTCAACTCTGTCTCTTGCTTCTTGTGTTTCCAGCTAAATGTCCAGAAGCTCCACCATCCTATCAGGCTGTGGTTTCAAGACTTGGTCTTTTGGTGAACATCGCCTCTGGGCTCAGTCTGTCCCTCTCCCCTCCCTCACGCCCCTTTATTCATCTCAGCTCTCTTTCCTCAACTGTTAAAACTGTTAGAATGTGTTTGTGCCTGTTGTACTTTGTTTTCAGCACTTTGTGTTTTCTGTTTCAGGATGTTTTTGTCTGATTTCACTCTGCATTGTTCTTCTATATCATTTGTTCTGTACCCGAGTTATACAAGAGAGGGAAGAAAGTTTGAGTTAATGCATCTGCGTCCATGGCTTTTTTTTTTTGTTATACACTCAACCCCAAATTGCTCCTGATGGTCAGGCTGCATCTGTGTGTGCCTCTATATTTCTGCCTCATCAGCATGCAAGGCATGAATTTCACATTTTAAAATGCCAATCTTTTAAGTCATTATTAGCTGGCTTCAGTGATGTGTCTGTGGTGCTTCATTCTGGCTTTAAAAGAGACATCATTTGGGTAAAAATATGCCATCAAAGATCCTATGATACAGGGACTGGAAGAATAGTCACAGGACTTGCAAGGGGACTTGCTGATTACCAGGAGCCAGGGGTGCGCCAGGAATTTTGGGCCCCATGGAAAAAAATGACATTAAATGACATTAAAAAAAAGTGCTAAAGGCCATCTTTTACAGTCTAAATGTAATTTTTATTGTAAAATCCCAAAATGGAAAATTCTCTTAACATTAATAAAATACTTAAAAAAAATAACTTAAATATACATTAACTTTTCAATGAAAATAAATTAAGATCACCATCCCAAATTAATGAAAACAGCAGATTTGTGATACCAATAAATGAACAACACTAAATCCTACAGAACACTGACCCAAATTACCTACAGTTCTGTATCACCACCACTAGATTACATACATTGGGTGTGTGTGAGTGTGAGTGAGAATGAAACCATTTGCCATTTTGTTGTATTCAGATGAGGTAACCAAAGAGCTTTTGGTGACTTTGTCTTACAAAATTCCATGAGTTGGAGAAACGGTACAGCCTGGGGAGAGAGCTGTCTGTTGGCACAAGGTCGAGAGAAAAAAAGGCCTTCCATTATAGTTACAGGAAATTGGTGCTTGATTTTTATGGAATTTAGGTTAATAAAATGGCTGTGAAAACTGTGGTGAACGGTCAAACTGGCAAGCATTCTGCAAGATTGTCCATCTTTGAGGAAAACTTTCTAGGACTTGGAAAAACAGGATTTCTGGAAAAAGAAAGTTCACACTGTATATGCAGTTCTTTAAGTTCATACACTGCTAAAAAAAAAAGAAAAAAAAAGCATCAGATCTTGATGAACGAATTATTCAAGTTGACAATCTTAATTAATGTACATTGTATGATTTGTTGAGAACAGAACAACATAACAATGGTCATTGGAAACCAAAACCATCAGCCCACTGAGTGCTGGATTCAAAATCATACTGAAAATCAAAGTAAAAAATTGAAATGACAGGCTGATCCAACTTGTGTGAATTTTATCTTGGCAACTCATAATGTGACTCAGTAGTGTGTATGGCCCCCACCTGCCTGTATGCTCTCCCAACAACATCTGGGAGTTGTTCCTGATGAGTCAGCAGATGGTGTCCTTGGAAATCTCCTCCCAGACCTGGATCAAGGCATCAGTGAGCTCCTGGGGTGTCTGTGGCGGTATTTGGTGGGGTCAGAGGTACCGATACCTAACGTCCTATAGGGGATCAGTTGGATTTTGGTCAGGGGAACCAGAGGGCCAGTCAATGGCATCAATGCCTTCATCATCCAGGAACTGCCTATATACTCTGGCCACATGAGGCCGGGCATTGTCCTGCACCAGGAGGAACCCAGGGCCCACTGCACAAATGTAAGGTCTGACAATCGTTCTGAGGATTTCATCGCGGTACCTAACAGCAGTCAGGATACCGCTGGGTATGATATGGAAGTCTGTGCGACCCTCCAAGGATATGCCACCCCAGACCATCACTGATCCACCACCAAACAGGTCTTTTTGGATGATGTTACAGACAGCATGATGTTCACCACATCATCTCCAGACTCTTTCACACCTGTCACATGTGCTCAATGTGAACCTGCTCCCATCTGTGAAGAGAACAGGGTGCCAATGGCGCCCCTTCCCAGTTCTGGTGTTCTCTGGAGAATGCCAGTCGTGCTACACAGTGCTGGGCTGTGAGCACAGGTCCCAATAGAGAATGTCGGGCCCTCATGGCATCCTCATGGAGTCTGTTTCTGACAGTTTAGTCAGAAACATGCACACCAGTAGCCTGTTGGTCATTTTGTAGGGCTTTGGCAGTACTCCTCCTGTTCCTCCTCACACATATGAGCAAATACCAATCCTGCTGCTGGGTTGATCCCCTTCTATGGTCCTGTCCAGCTCACCACGTGTACTGGCCAGTCTTTTATCTCCTCCATGCTCTTGACACTGTGCTGAGAGACACAGCAAACCTTCTTGAAACCACACATATGGATGTGCCATCCTGGAGGAGCTGGACTACCTGTGCAACCTGATTGGGCTGCAGGTTACTGCCTAATGCTACCAGTAGTAACAAGGACACTGGCAGAACACAAAACTAGAGAAGAATCAGTCAGGAAGGATAAAGAGAGAGCAACTGTCTGTGGCCACCACATGCAAAACCATACCCTTTTGGGGGTTGTCTTACTTTTGCGCCTATTGTCACTTTCATTTGCACCAAAGCAGGTGAAAGTGATTCACAATCACTTGTTCTTCCTAAATGGATAGACTGATATCCCTGACTTGGTGTTATACTGTGATGATTAAATGTTCTCATACTTTTTTTTGAGCAGTGTATATTATGTCATTATGAATTTTGGTTTACAAGTAGATATTGGTGAAGTTTTGCTATTGACTGCAACTATGGGAAACAACATTTCAGTAAGGTCATTGGTGGTAGGTGGATTTTTGAAAAGCAAGCCAAATCATTCATTTAGCAAAACTCAGTGTATAGAACTGTGGCTGGGGGAGATATTAGCAATATGCTAACCTCTCAGTCGAGGGACTTAATTGATGTAACTCACCATAATGTGAAAAAAAGTGTTAGACAAAATACTAGAAACATCAGCTTAACACTGAGTGTATTTTGGTAATTTAAATCTAAGTTTATAGTATTTTCTCTACCCTCATGACTATAAATGGGGGAGAATCACTAAATATCAGTTAAAAGTTTTACCCCATTTACCTGTCGTATCTCCCCTTAAATTCAGTCAACACCTCTCTAAGGCACTTTTAACAAAAATACAGTAGGCCTATATGCATGAACCCTCAGGAAGCAGGATTTATTGCATTACACTGCAATAGCTTTAGCTAGATGAACTTATTAAACAGACATTGAGTTGAAGTGCCTCTATATTTCTGCCTCATCAGCATTCAAGGCATGAATTTCACATTTTAAAATGCCAATCTTTTAAGTCATTATTAGTTGGCTTCAGTGATATGTGTCTGTGGTGCTTCGTTCTGGCTTTAAAAGAGACATCATTTGGGTAAAAATATGCCATCAAAAATCCTATGATACAGGGACTGGAAGTATAGTCACAGGACTTGCAAGGGGACTTGCTGATTACCAGGAGCCAGGGGCGCCGCCAGAAATTTTGGGCCCCATGAAAAAAAATGGCATTAAATGACATAAAAAAAATGTGGTAAAGACCATCTTTTACAGTCTAAATGTATTTTATATTGTAAAATCCCAAAATGGAAAATTCTCTTAACATTAATAAAATACTTAAAGCCGCTACAAGGAACTTTTAATTGGATATGCAAAAGTCTCTCATTTCTGTTGATGTCTGTGCGTGATCTACAACAGCAAATGAGACCATCAGTGTGAAGATAAGCTATTTCTATATAGTGTACAGTACAGGCCAAAAGTTTGGACACACCTTCTCATTCAATGCGTTTTCTTTATTTTCATGACTATTTACATTGTAGATTCTCACTGAAGGCATCAAAACTATGAATGAACACATGTGGAGTTATGTACTTAACAAAAAAAGGTGAAATAACTGAAAACATGTTTTATATTCTAGTTTCTTCAAAATAGCCACCCTTTGCTCTGATTACTGCTTTGCACACTCTTGGCATTCTCTCCATGAGCTTCAAGAGGTAGTCACCTGAAATGGTTT